GTGAAGTTTTCCCTCTTGCTGAAATTATAATCCAAGCTCTTTTTAATGCTCATATTCTGTTGCTTCTATAACTCAAGGGACCAGCAGCACAAACACCGTTGGGGGTACAGTGAACAGCCAAGCTGCCCAGGCTCAGCCTCCTGCCATGACATCCAGCAGGAAGGGCACATTCACAGATGACCTGCACAAACTGGTAGATAATTGGGCCCGAGATGCCATGAATCTTTCAGGCAGGAGAGGAAGCAAAGGACATATGAATTATGAGGTAAGTCTTCCCTTTTGCCATTAGATCTAATCTGTTAGAGCATTACTTAACACACATCTAAATCCAAGGTGATTAAACTATCTAAGCTACTTAACATTTTATACCACAACCTGCTTCAGTAGCTTATGAATTTTAACACTCTTAGAAAAACAAGGCAAAAATCACCCAAGTACCCTTTTTATTTTTCCTTCCATATTCTTCTTCCCTGAATTGTTAGCCTCTCATGCATCAGCTCAGATTTTTCTTCCATTTTCCTTCAATATCCTGAACTACATGTGTAGACACATGTATGCACATGACACCCCTCCCCTTCTATTCAAAAGAATTATTTTCACTCCTTCTGGGTAAATACAGAGAGCCAATAAATATTATGGAGGGTTTCGTTTTGTTTTGCCATAGCCTATATAAAATAGATGTGTGTTTTAGTGTGGTTCATTTTATACCTGTGGGTGTTAAAACCACCCCAGACTTTACATGTGGTGATTTTGTTTCCAGGGCCCTGGGATGGCAAGGAAGTTCTCTGCACCTGGACAGCTGTGCATTTCCATGACCTCAAACCTGGGTGGCTCCGCCCCCATCTCTGCAGCATCAGCTACCTCTCTAGGTCACTTCACCAAGTCTCTGTGTCCCCCACAGCAGTATGGTTTTCCAGCTGCCCCATTTGGCGCTCAGTGGAGTGGGACGGGTGGCCCAGCACCACAGCCACTGGGCCAGTTTCAACCTGTGGGAACTGCCTCCTTGCAGAATTTCAACATCAGCAATTTGCAGAAATCCATCAGCAACCCCCCAGGTTCCAACCTGCGGACCACTTAGTCAGACCTAGAGACATTACCTGAGTAGATCTGGGGGCAGGAGATGGAATGCTGATGGGGGGAGGGTTGGGGGAAAAGTAGCCTCTTACTAACTTACTAGTGCTGCATTTAACTGGTTATTTCTTGCTGGAAGGGAATGTTTTAATACCACTTTGAGCCCTCAGAATGGAGAGTCTCCCTCCCCTCCATTTACTGGAGTGGGACAAGAAGGAAAGAACAACTTGTTTGTGAAGGGGCAGCTTCAGATCATGCTTTCCTGTCCTTCCATACCCAACAGTGAGGGCTCGAGTGAGGAAAGAGAATACTGTTCATGAAGAAGCTACTAGAGAGCTCAGTCTAAAATGAAGCCCCATCTGTATTCTGTATTTTCAAGTTGGGTGGAGCTCTTAGTTTGGTACACGCCCCAAATATCCCTTACTCCAAACCACAAGACACACACAAAAAAAGCTTTTGGGCTTTGTCCTACCTTGCTCCTGTCCCCACCCCTTTTTTTTCTCTTCCTTTTTTTTTTTTTTTTCTTTCCTTCTTTGCTCTTTAGAACCCAGTGAAAAATACCAGGGGACTGGGGTTGTTACCCTTATGATAGGTCATTAGTGCTTTAAGCAAAAGATATTAGCAGCTTTGACTGCAGCATTAGCAATTAGGAAAGAAAAATTAAGTTCCCTGCGGACATGTAACTTCGCCATCAGTTTTGATGTGGAAACACTGTGATATTATATAAATGTTGTTGGACAACAGTAGTTTTAAGAGTAAAATATGAAACGTTAAAAAGTTCCAAAAAAAAAAAGCTAGCTCTGTCCTTTACTTATTGAGACACTTTAACTTTTTTCCTTTGTATTTCCATTGTATTAGATAAATAAATGTGAATGTAAAATTGTATAAATTACTGTACTTGAATACTTCTGTTCTCCCAGTGTTGCTTGCTGGACATTTTAGTGCCTTGGACTTCTATTGCTTCTGCCATTAGCATCAACTTGATCAGACCCCAGATCAGCAAAGGGCATGTGGAAGGAAATTATAGGTCCATGTGACCCTAACAGTGGATATGCCAAAGGGAAGTTGAAAGAGTATTTTTTTAAGTCATTCAACAATTTTGTCTAGAGCAGGTGTAAGATGAGTCAGGTGAGAAGTTAAGTTGGCATCAGTGGTTGAAAGCAGAGAGTTCTGTTTCAGGAGGAGGGGCGTTATAACTAAATGGGGCAATTTAAAAGATTAAGAGTGGTGTGTGCTCAGTGAAAGGAAAAAGAAAGACTAAAGAATGGGGAACAAACTTGTTTAGAAGATACTTGAACCTAGCCAGTGACTGTCATAAGCTTTACATATTTGAGCTGGGCTTGAACAGATAAGATCTAGAAGAAATTAAAACATAAAGAGAAGGGGTTGGGGGCTAGTTTTTAAGTTGGAAAATACGATAGTTAAAAACCACAGGTGGAGAAGGTTGCTCTAAAACTGGATTGCTTTCCTCTTCTTGCACATGTACCGTGCATTTCTCAGCGTGGGGTACTATATTTTGTGGATAGTGAATCTTTCTATATCTGAATTAATAAGCATTGTCAGAAAGAATGCTTATTCCTACCATTTTCTCTGATGTCCAAATGGTTGCAGGATTATAATCTGTTTTGCCACCTTTATTTCTAAAGTTACAACTAATATTCTCACATTCTCATACAAACGCTTCCCTTAAGTAGTAACTGCAACCAACCAGCATTATTCAGTGCTATGCCTAATTAGTAATGGGCATTTCTATTGTTTTCAGAATTTTCCAGAAATATCCTAATTGGCTATGTATGGGAACTCTATTGTCTCTGAAGGTACAGAAAGAAGCTAGGACTCTTAATTTGGGGGTGCTTCTGCTCTTGACATTTAGTTGGAAAACTGACATATTTTCCAACCTTTCACCCCACACCCCAGTGGCACTTCCCAGGAATCATCACAACCCCTAGGAAGAGCCAGTCCCTTGCTTCCTTGTTTGCTTTGCTGTGTGCCCTGGGCCCCAGAGAGGCAAATGAGAGCTGAGGGTTTTAGGAAGGTAGAAATGAAAAGGCCGGCAGTTTCAAGCTTTGGTTTAAAACTGTTTACTTATTTATTCTCTGCTTGTAATTTTTGGGGAGAGGGTAAGAGTAAGGACAGAACAGAGAGTGCCAAGTAATGAGAAATGGACAACCTAAGATGAATGGAACAAAACTTTATCCAGAGGGACGAGGGGGCCAAATGCAGCACATGATCGTTTTGTTACTTTGGTTTAATAATTTTGAGATCTTTTCACTCATACGCAAAAACTAAGAACTGGTTTTATTTACTGTTGATTCTTTTTTTCCCCGCCTGTGGATGAAATAACTGAAGCCTAGAGGAATGAACTAGTGCTACTGAACTGTTTAAATTATTTTTGTGTTAATAGTACACTTTGAGTCTTTTCCACATTAAAAAAAAATCTTTCTGAATTATAAATGTTTTCTTTACATTATTTAACAATGTACACTGTTTAAAAAAACAAATAAACTGAATTCAAACTTTGGGGGTTTCTCAGCAGCCATTAATTGTACATTTTGCACTAACTCTGGGTATTGCGCTTCTTGTAAGATTGCGCTTTGTGCTTCAGTTTGTTACCTTTGTAGATTTATTTAATGAAACCATTCAAATAAACCAAACTTTGCTTTTGTTGACCTGTGAGGTTTCATTTCCAGCAAATTCTCTTTTCACATCCTCATTGGAGCTATTTTGATTAATACACAATTTAAAACTGGATTCCTAATTGCTGGGAATTTTTTTTTTTTTTTAGCAACAGTTTTGCCATGAACTAAAATTATGGACAGAGAAAAATATTTTTTCCATGGGAAAATGGTAAGGATATCAAAATCAAAAACTGAATATATGACCAAATCCATATAACAACAGGTAAAGTTAAAGTTTTTAGAACATAGGAAAATCAAGATAAGCTGCTGCCTCTGCATCTTTTGAAGGAATACAGATGATCAGCTGTTGGCCAGTACTTTTGACTTCTTTAACCTCAGTCACAGCTTCCTACAAATGGGTCTGTGATCCAAAAAAGTTAATCACTGCTTCCAGATTAGGCACAAGTAAAAAGACTGCAAACTCATTATGGGGGAAAGAATTCTAAAACAGCTAAACACAAAGAAAAATGTTAAGGTGGTTACATCTCACATCTGAAATGAGAACGTAAAAACAGCTATAGGTTGGGAGCGGCACCTCTGGCTCAAAGGAGTAGGGCACTGGCCCCACATACTGGAGGTAGCAGGTTCAAACCCGGCCCCAGCCAAAAAAACAGCTATAGGTTGAGCATCCCTAATGCAAAATCTGAGACCCCAAATGCAAACTTTTTTTTTTTTTAATACATGATGCCACAAGTGGGAAATTCCACACCTGGCCTAATGTCACAGGTGAGTCAAAACAGGTATAAACAGTTTATTCAGTGGTCTTCACCTGCAGTGTATCTTGTACACAAACTTTGTTTTATGTACAAAATTATTTAAAATGCATAAAATTGCCATCAGCCTACCTTTATAAGGTATATATGAAATATAAATGAGTTTCATACTTAGATTCGGCTCCTATCCCCAAGATACCTCATTATATACATACAAATATTCCAAAATCCAAAATACCTCTGGTCTCAAGCATTTCAGATAAGGGATACTCAGCCTGTATATTTTATACTTTTTTTTCTTTTTTTGCAGTTTTGGCTGGGGCTGGGCTCAAACCCACTATTCCTTGAGCCAGAGGCATTGCCCGCAGCCTGTGTATTTTATATTTTGTTAAAATTAAAGGATTTGCTTTCTCAAAATGCCTTTTCCTTGCTCTTAAATCATTTTCTTGCTTAGGAAAAAATACTGCTTTTGAAAGAATGCAGGATTGTAATGTTGTAAACCCATAAATTTAAGAGGTTCTATTAGATGAAGATTGTAGCCTTGTTGGATAACAAGTAGTAAAAGGACTACCTCAACCTTATTCCTTTCATGAAATACAGTACTTATGTGGACACTTTCCTAAAGGAAAAGGAAACAGATTATTTCAAACAATTTAATGTTGGCAGTTGTTAAAGCTAGTGCCTAGTACCAAGTCTGGCCTCTATTGCTTGAGGACAGGCAGCCAGCTGTGATTCCCAAAATGTCTATCTTTATTAACATAATAGCCTAGGAATAAATAGTGAAAGCCACAAGAGCCAAAGAAGAGGTATTTCATCTGTCCAGCACCTTCCCACTACAGCGTGCAACAAGCTTTTTAATGGCACTCAGCTTTATTAACTACAATAGACTCATAATCCTCAGATAAGGTGCAGAATGAGGCAAGGTAAACTCTTGAAATGAAGTTCACTCTCCAGGAACGATGACCAATGTGACCAAAAAGTAGTTTTCCAAAATCCCTTTGTGATAAGAGTCCCAATGATGTAGGCTGAGCCTCAGTTAAGATGGATCCAATTTCCTTTTCTTCATGTCCTGGCTCTTAAGAGATTCCCAGTTACCTGTGGAAGATAAAACGGCTTAAATGTAATTGCCATGATTTTAAAATAAGGAATAAACTGACAGCTAATAATTTCTGGATTGTATTAATGATCCTAATTTGAACTAAGAACCCATGAATGAAAATTATTGTTAGAACAGATTCTCTGCTAACTTCACACCAAATAGCATCATACTCTTGAAAGCCATTTAATAGGAAAAGTTTTTCATGTAGTCATGCTTAAGCTTCATGCTACTATCAAAGGATGCATCTGAAATCAGAAACCCAAAGGAAAAGTTCTGGCACTTAAACCAGTTACCTTCTATTGGAAGGATTCTATCCAACTTAAATATTGTTTCCTTAAAATTCACAGAATTTTTGTTCCTAAACACTTCTCTCTCCTACCTGTTACATGCTGGTTAGTGCTGCAAGTTTGAGGTTGCCAGGGTCCTGATTTTGCTTGTGGCTTCTGGTTGCAAAGGCTATGTGGGGTCCTGTTTGAGGTCATCATCTGGTTGTTCGATGCTAGTATGTCTGACGTCGGAGGTGGTTCTGGTCCAAACAAGGGTTTGACGACACTGTCCAGTACATCGGGAGTCAGATCCCACATTTCAAGACTGTCAAGATTCTCTACAGAGATCACAGAAAAGTGTAGCATCAGCAAAGAATGAAGTATTCTCACAGAAGGCAGTGGAAACACTGGTCCTAAGAAATTCCAGGTCTTGAGTACCCTATCATAGTTTTTGGACTCTCTTTCTGCCCTTGAAAGTACACTGAAGCCTGTTTGGTTAGTACAAAAGCAGAGCTGGATTACCTGCTATCCGTCAGAACCCCTGTTAATAAAAATGAAGAGCCTCATGCCACATGAGAATACATCACAGTATATTCTGTGATGCCAAAAGCAGATAGCACCGTTGCGTATAAGCATTTCATAGGTATTTATTGATTAATTACTGAATCACACCTGATGTGCAGTCTTTCTCAGTGACTGGTTCTGAGATAGCAGTTACAGGAGTGCTGTGCGTCAGAGGAGGGGCCACAAGCGCTGCTATGGTTTACACAGGAGAAAAAGGACAAGTCATAAATCACGTAAGTAAATGGAATTTAAGAGATTAAATCTATTTCCCTCCTGTTAAAGGGAGCAGTCTCCGAAGTACAAAGCTGCCAGGGGCTATCCTGGTCCAACCAATAAAAAAAAACTCAAGACTCCTGAGTTCCAGTCCTACCTACAGATTTAGATGTAGTTTTTGTTTTTTTTTTTGGACACAGAGGCTCAGGCTATTGCCCACGGGTGAGTGTCATGCCATTAGCCTAGCTGACAGTAACCTCAAATTCCTGGGCTTAAGCAATCCTTCTGCCTCAGCCTCCCAAGTAGCTGTGACTACAGGTACCTGCTAGAACACCTGGCGGATTTTTCTATTATTTAGCAGAGATGGGGGTCTCACTCTTGCTCAGGCTGGTCTTGAACTCTTCAGCTCAAGGGATCCTTCCACCTTGTTCTCCAAGAGTGTTAAGATTACAGGTGTGAGCCATATATCACCTGACAGAGTGGATTTTTTGTTAATTTAACAGAGTATAATTGGGTAAAGAATGATCAGGCAGCCCCACAAACCAAAGTAGGTTCAGAGAGACTTCCTGTTTGTGGTTTAAAATAACTTCCAGCTCGGCGCCTGTGGCTCAAATGGCTAAGGCGCCAGCCACATATACATGAGCTGGCAGGTTCAAATCCAGCCCAGGCCTGCCAAACAACAATGACGGCTGCAACCAAAAAATAGCCAGGCGCTATGGCGGGCGCCTGTAATCCCAGCTACTTGGGAGGTGGAGGCAGGAGACTCGCTTGAGCCCAGGAGTTGGAGGTTGCTGTGAGCTGTGTTGCCACAGCGACAGCTTGAGGCTCTGTCTCAAAAAAAAAATAACTATTCCTTCTCACTAAAGTGAGAAAAACAAAAGTTTATTTCTCTTTTAACAGCAAAAACAGAGGGGTTATTGGGAGCCATCTAGTCAAGTGGCTGATTGGCTTTTTAAAGCCATAACCCTTGTTCAAAATCTTAAGCACAAATCCAATATGTAAAATAGATTCAAAGAACAATAGCTCTGGTTGTCTGACAAGGGGCAGAAAAAAGTCCTGGAGAACAACCTCCTCCACACTGCATGCCAGGAGTTTCTGCAATGGGTTTAGACCAGTGATTCTCAACCTGTGGGTCGTGATCCCTTTGGGGGTTGACTGACCCTTTCACAGGGGTCGCCTAAATACATCCTGCATATCAGATATTTACATTATGATTCATAGCAGTACCACAATTACAGTTATGAAGTAGCAACGAAAATAATTTTATGGTTGGAGGTCACCACAACAGGAGGAACTGTATTAAAGGGTCATGGCATTAGGAAGGTTGAGAACCTCTGGTTTAGACCCTAAACATCTAGAGTAGCTCATTAGGGATCCAGGACAGTAGGTGGTTTGGTTTTGTTAACATTAACTTCAGCCTGTCAGTGCTGAGGGGGATATTAATGAACCAAACTCAAAGCAAGTCCTCTGTGAATCTTCATAATTTGTAGAGAAAAACCAGGCAAAAGTTCAATCAGTTTAGGACAAACCCTTTTCTTATTTCTACTCTTTGGGCAAGGACTACTATCCTGCAAAAAAACCTATTACTCTCACTGAATCTGGACCCTGAAATAAAGTTACTAGATAATCTACTAATGTTCCCACTATCTTCAAACCCAATTTTGCCTTGTATTCAAAGATATCTCAGAAACAAAAGGCTTTCTAATGCAAAGATGGATAAAGTATCTGGAATAAAACAATTCTATCCTGAAATTTCTAATTCCAGAAGATTAAGTCAAGGCCCATTTACTTCCCTAAAAAAGAAAACAACGAGCAGTGCCTATGGCTCAAGGAGTAGGGCACCAGTCCCATATACCAGAGATGGCGGGTTCAACCCCAGCCCTGGCCAAAAACTGCAAATAAAAACAAAAAACAAAAAACATTGTCTTCATGGCAATATCACTTTTTCTTTTCTTTCTTTCTTTCTTTCTTTTTTTTTTTTTTTTAAGATTTTTAGAGATGAAGTTGCTTAGGCTGGAGTAATCATAGCTCACTGTGGCCTTGAACTCCTGTGCTCAAACAATCCTTCCACCTCAGCCTCCTGAGTAGCTGGGACTACAGGTGCTCTCCACCAAACCTGGCTAATAATTACTATTTTTTTTTTTTCTTGGTAAAGACAGGGGTCTTGTTGTATTGCCCAGGCTGGTCTCAAACTACTGGCTTCAAGTGATCCTTCTGCCAGAGCCTGCCAAAGTGCTGGGATTCTATGTGTGAGCCACCACACCCAGCCCAGATTTCACTATCTTAATTTCCTGGACTCATTTCTCCTGTATGTAGCTTGAGAGAAATCCTGGTGAAGTCTGATTTGGAGCTGGCCACAGGGTTACTGACAGAAAACCGGTCTCCTGTCCATTTGACTTCCTCTTTCAGATGTACTTCCTAGGGCCTCTGCTCCCATCCTCCCACACACCCTCACTCTTCTTTTCAGCTGATGGGGCAGATGTTTGAACTTGCTGCTGTTTCTCCATTTGCTCCTGTTTCTCCATTTGCTCCCGGAACTGCTGCTGCAGCTGCTTTTGCCGGAGCTTCCGCTGGTATGTGGCATCACTATCCACAGTGGATGAGGTCAGGTGTCTGCATCAGAACAGCAACAAGGTGGAAGAGAGTTCCTAAGTAATAGCTATGGTTCCTGAGGAGCACACAACCAACTTGCTGGCTCTGAAGTTAGAAATGAAGGCAAATTAAACTGCATGAGAAGCAGCAGAGGAAAGGTAAAGAACTTAGAACTTATACCGGGAGCTGCTGTCCTTTTCCCCCTGTATCACAATGTGGGCGTCATCTGGGTGGCATGGTCTGCAAGGGGAGGTCACTTTCTGTGGTTTTGGGTGTCCCAGCACCATGTTTGGTTGACAGCTATTATATCTTGCCTGTTCCACAGATGGTTCAAAATCTTGCCTCTTCGCTTTAGTTAAATCCACTTCCAGAGGCAACTAATAAAAAAGAGGATATAATACTTTGAGACAAATGAAAACTAAAATTCAAGGTACCCAAATTTCTAGGATACAGTAAAAGCAATCCTAAGAGGGAAGTTAAACACATAAATTAAAAATCAAGGTATAAAAAGGAAGATCTCAAATAAGTAACCTCTGACTTCGTACCTTCCTTAACTAGAAAACGAATAAACTAAAACCAAAGCTAGCAGAAAGAAGTAAATAAAAAAAGATTAGAACAGAGATAAATGAAATAGAAAATCCAAAAACAATAGAAAAAAGAATCAACAAAAATAGGAGTTGTTTTTTAAAAAAAAACAAAATTGACAAACCCTTAACTATTAAGAAAAAAAGAGGGTGGGTGCAGGGGCTCATGCCTGTAATCGTAGCACTCTGGGAGGCTAAGGCAGGTGGATTGCCTGAGCTTACAAGTTCAAGACCAGTCTGAGCCAGAGCAAGACCCTGTCCCTAAAAATAGCTGCACATTGTGGCAAGCACCTATAGTCCCAGCTACTTGGGAGGTTGAGGCAAGAGAATCTTTTGAGCCCAAGAGTTTGAAGTTGCTATGAGCTGTGATGCCACATCACTCTACCGAGGGTGACAAACTGAGACTCTGTCTCAGGAAAAAAAAAACACTCTTTCATGATAAAAGCACTCAACAAACTAGGAATAGAAGGAAACCACCTCAACACACAATAAGGCCATATATGAAAAGGCTTCAGCTAACATCACAGTCAAAGGTAAAAGACTGAAAGCTTTTCAACTTTCAGGGGCAACCTATGGAATGGTAGAAAATATTCGTAAATCATACATCTGAGAAGGAGTTAATATCCAGAATATTTAAAGAATCACCATGACCGGGTGGCACCTGTGGCTCAGTGAGTAGGG